AACAATATCAAAATATTTTTTATTTTTTTTGATTAATGGCAGCAAAAAAAAAAAGAAAATCTGGAATAAAAAAACAAAAAAAAAGGGAATATTTTTAGTCTTTTTTTAATGCCACGTTCGTTTTTCGCTTTAAAACAACGCAAAATCTTTTTTTTTTTTTTTTTTTTTTTGATTTTTATCCGCATCGCGTGTTTAATGTCATTTTGGTCCAGGCCATTGCGGTATTTTAAAAAAGGCGCCTTTTTTTTTTCAAATCTCGTTCGACGCGTGTAAAAAACGGAGTAAAATCGATGATCACAAACTGAATTTTTTTTTTTAAATGATGATAATAATAATTATTATTTTTCACACATTTCCCAGGTTAATTTCCTTTTGTAAAAACCGTTTATGGTTTTAGGAAAAACAAAAAAAAAAAAAATATTGTTGTTGTTGTTGTTCTTCTCCTCTTTACATCGGAAAATGTATACGTACGATTCGGATTCAAATCGATAATAATAAGACTTGCGCATTTGTTATTAACAAAAAAAAAAAAAAAACTTAAAACTTCATTTTCACTTTATCTCGTGGAAATAGTCAATTCGGAAAAAGAAAAAATTCATATTTTTTTGTTTTTTTTTGTTTTTTTTCTTTCCAGAATTTTTTTTCCTACAAATTTTATTTTTTTTATAAAATAAACATTTTTTCCCCACCCTCCCCTTTTTGTTATTATTTCTTTCTGCGTGTGCGTGTGCGTGCGTGCGTGCGTGTGTTCGATTCACGGGAAATTGTGAAAAAGTGAACGTTTTTGTTGTTATGTCGAAGAACGGGAGAAGGACGAATTTGGAAAATTTTTAACGTGACATTGTTTGTTTTCATTTTTTTTAATTTTTAATTATATCGAGTGAAAAACATCATCATTATTATCAATGTCAAAAGTGAAATAATAATAATAATAATAATAAATACGAAAACAAAAAAAAAAGGGCGGATGATGTGATTCGACTACGACTACGACACACACACAAAAATGTGCAAAAAAATTCGTTTTCGTTTGTTGTTGTTGTTGTTTGTTTTTTTTTCATCACGGATGTGATAAACACGGTGAAACAATAATTTTTTTTCTCTTAGTGTGTTACGTTAAATTTTGTTATAATAATAATAATAATCGTAAAACATACAACACCTGATCGAAGTTGCAATAATAATAACAGTGGGAGAAGGAAGAAAAGATTTTTGTTTAAAGAGTAATTTAATATATTAATATTACTATTATGTGTCGTCGACGAGATGAAAACAAACGTTTGTTGTTTGTTGTTTTCATAGTGTAGTAATCCTGTTCTTATACGGTGCATCATCATCATCGTCGTCGTCGTAAAAATGCCGTGTACTGTGATAACGTTGTGCCCTAACGGATAACAAAAAAAAAAGAAAATTTATTATTATTATTATTAATTTTATCATATTCGCAACACGTTAATGCTTGACTTTATTATTATTATTATTATTATTAATAT